AAAACCTGTAAGATGCTGGGGGGGGGGGGACAACCCCTCACCCCACCAGCCACCCACCACCCACCACTTATATGGTTTCTGTCCTTTGTAGACTCTCTGATGAGCTGTGTCATTATTCTCCTTCTCCTGCCCGTCACCTACTTCAGAGAAGAGAGAACATCCTTTTAGAAATTCAAGGTATCAAGCCAGCCTGTCATTGATGTTCCCCAATGATCTCTATCAAGATTAAGCTGGAATTCTGGTTTTCAAACAACATTTCCCAACTCTCCAGCTGATAGCAAAACCTCAGGGAAAAGTGGACCAAAATAAGAACCGAGCAGTTCTGACTTCTTTTGTTATCTGATATCCTTTGCCATCTTCACTATTATTTTCTTTAATTTTTTCGCCCTTTTGATTGCAAACATACCTCCTTTTTTTAGGAACACTAACCATATAGGGTTCTTTTCCACAGAATCCTATCTATCATTGATCTGGATTAATTTTAAGTGGATTAAAATTTGCTTTCTTGAAGTCCAGGATATTTATTTGATAACACTTGGTTCTAGTTTCTCTTCAGATCATGAATTCCAGCATTACACAGTCCCATTTGCCAAAGTTGAAAGTGGTTCCATGTTGTTAGCTACTGATATGACTTCCTGGAATTATCAGCCTTGGCAGTGTGTCTCTCCCAGATTCCAACAAGCAACAATAGGACAATGATGCCAACATGGGAACCAGACCCTCTAGCAAATCCTACTTTGCCCCCACATCTACACCAACAGCACTATCACAGGTCCCAACAAGGACACACTCAAATTTAGAGGCACCTTCACCTGTTCTTCCTATGATAAATGCCAACATATGCCAGCAAATCCCCTCTGGATTCTACGTAGGACAACTGGGACAAACTTTGTGCAAAAGAATTACAGGCAGTCCTCCTTTAGCAACTGACTCATTTAGCAACCATTCGCAGTTACGATGGTGATGAAAAAGTAATTTTGCGACCCATCATTGCATTTATGACCTTCATAGGTCTGTAAAGCAAAGGAAAGCTGAAATAAGATTGTAAGCATAGTCAAGGTTTCACTTAGCAACCACTTTGCTTAATGACCAAGTCGCTACCTGCAATGGACACAACACTGACATCAGAAATCAGAACAAGTGCAAAGTCATATCAGAGCATTGCAGCCTCTCAGGATGCTTCATGACAGACCTCAAAGTGACTGTTTTGGAAAAGTGGGACTTTAATTCCACCACTGAGTAAGAAACTGTAAGAACATTCACTTACATCAAAAGGTTTCAGATAATCTCAGAAGGACTCAACAAACACAATGGGTTTCTAATGCAATTAGGAATGGATCAGATACTTGTGATCTGCCTGACACTTTACCAGCTACAGGAACAGCCTCATGATCCATGGAAAAGAACCAATGGCTATAAAGACCTGGAGAACGTGCTATGTGAGCCCCGCTATATGCGCTGCAGCACCTTTTGGCCCCCAAATCTAAAGTGCTGCACAGCTGTCTTAGAGACAGTATTAGTTGTGTTCAGCCATCAGAACAAAAATCCATGCTGGATTTCAGTTAAACACTGCAGTCCTGGGGTGTTTCCCCAAAGCCAATGGTTTAGTTTAGAGATAAAACACAACTGAACTGATTGGCCTTCTCAAGTTTCAGTTACCAAACGGTTCACCACATGTCGAAACAAGTCCCTTCTGATATTCATCTATTAAGGAGCTTCAAAAAGCCCCAGACTTCTCTTTTTTTCCAGCGAGGGGAAACCCAGACACAGCCAGCCAGACGACTTCTGTTAGCCAAGGTCTGTCCCAGTCAAGAGAGTCCAGAGCAAAGGGGGGCCCTTACCCAGAGAGGCCACATTTTGGGAATTCTCCAGCATAACTTGGCAATGCAGGGCTCTTTGGCTGAGATTCAGCATGGACCACTCCTCTCTGGTGAAGTACACGGCCACCTCCTCAAAGGAGACGAGACCCTGGCGATGAAAAAAAGCAAACAAACAAAAACCGGGACATTCAGAAAGGATTTATCAATTTTCTCCCTTAACTTGCAAATCCCCAAAGCAGAGTTTTGCAGCAGAACATTCCTTGTGCAATTCAAACTTTCTTAAAGAAAGGAGCAAAATTACAAGCCCTATCTGAGAAAACATCTGGGACAGAGTTTGATTAACTTGGCAGGCCCTGCAGGAGCTTGACTGACATCTGGGAACCATGATATCCCTGGGCCAGGATGGGTGATGGAGGCAGGGTCTAGCTAGGGCTCTGGTTCTTCCTAGAGCGCAACATGCAAGAACAGTCTCACTGGACCTCTTGAACTCATGATGTCCATCAAGGACCACCATTATGCTGTCTGAGAACAGGAAAAAGCTGGTGTGGTGTAGTGGAAAAGTGGACAAACCCAGGTTTGAGTCCATTCTCAGCCCAGAAACTCCAGGGGTGACTGATTCAGTCACTCTCCTTCAACCCACCCAACCTGGTATGTACATCGCTCTGAACTCCTGAATGAAAAGGCAGGTTATAAGGGTGAGCCCACTCCTTGATTATACTGACTGTGAGGTGTTGCAATTGTTCTCAGCTGCTATTTTATGCTGTGTTATGTTATTTATGTTTTAAATTATTGGTTGTTTTTACTGTTTTAATGTTGTTTAATTGTTAGCAACCCAGAGTCATGTATATGGGATGTGCAGTAAAACAAAACAACACAAAACAAAACAAGAACATAAATAAATGACTCTCTTCTTCCTACCTGGACTGTAGCTTCAGCTGCTGTTTTGGCTCCACCAGGAAGAAAAGACTTTTTAAAAAGTGCCAGAGATGTTGTTCTGCTGTCTGTGGGGGAGACATGTTAAAAATTGGCACAGAGATACGACAACCCTTCCTAGCTCTTTTTGCAGCCACCTAAACTTGAATGTGACTTTTTTTCCAAGCACACTTCTTACAGAGTTGTCTTTAGCAAGATTTACTGTATTAATATGAAAGGGCTACGGTTACAGGAATGCTAGCAACTGAACTACAGGTAGTCCTCAGGTTATGACCACTCATTCAGTGACAGTTCAGTTATGACAGCGCTGAACGAGTGGTACTTATGACTGGTCTTTGAAGTTCTGGTCATCACAGCATCCCACGGTCACACGATCGCCATTTGCGACCTTCCCTGCCAGCTTCCCACAAGCAAAGTCAATGGGGAAGCTATTAGGGAAAGTCACAAGTTGCTCCTGTAAGTCACTTCTGCCGCTTTTTCTCCCAAGGAGTCCCACTGCGGAGTATGAGATCCCAGAGATCTTGTACTCCATAGCAACCCTCTGCATGCCCACACTCTGTACCACACCCATCGGCCCCCTCCCACTCCCCACACTCTGTAGCGCCAGCCTGCCTGTCCACCGCACACACCCCCACCCATAGCCCCTGCCGTCTCACCTGCACTCCATAATGTCCGCCTGCCTGCAGCTTCGCCCTGCCTGCAGCCCTGCTGGCCTACCCTCACTCTGTAGTGCCTGCCTGCCTCTCCTGCCAGCCCACCTGTGCTCCATAGCGCCCACTCATGGCCCCTGCCAACCCACCTGCAGCCCCCGCTGGCCTGTCCATGCTCCACAGTGTCTGGCCGCAGGATCTCCCCACCCCCTATGGAGCCACACACCCTCCATGCTCTGTAGTGCTTGCCCGCAGGACCCCCCATCCCCCTGTGGCACCTCCGCAGCCCCCTTGTGTTCCTTGCCTGGGTTGTCTCTTCCCACTTAACGACCCGCACGGTCCTGGGTTTCCAAAGGCAACCAGGACTGCAGGGATGGCCATTGTTAAGTGATGTGGTCACGTGATATCACGCTTTACTACTGCATCACTTAGCCACAGAAATTCTGGTCCCAGTTGCCATTGTAACCTGTATTTCCCAGTTGGAACTGATTTATCCCCATGTATGTTTAGGAGGAGGCATCATCATTTTATTCCTAACAGAGTGCACAGATAATGGAGAAGCTTCTGAGTGGTTATTTATACCAGAGGTTTTCAAACTTTTTCAGACTGCAGCACTTTTTAATTATTTAATTCCTGGATTTCCTGAACAACAGGCAGAGTGATGAGGCACATGATCACAAACCTGCTCTGGGGGGAGGCTCCTCACAATCAGCTGAAAAGCCCCCATCCTTTCCACTGTTCCTGGTGAACTTTTTTGGGTAGTTTTGTCTCTCACGCAACCCCATCAAGTCTGTGGAACAGAGTTTGAAGAATCTGGGTTTATGTACCAATCACCAAATGTTTATCACATCGGAAACCAGCTTTCCCACCCCAGAGCCTGCTCACATGAACACGCTTTCACAATAGGAAGAACCTCCGCATTTCATGCAGCCGTGTGAGAAGGAGGAGAGAACTCGAATTTCCCTGGGAATTCACAGAACTGGAAGAACTCCTCCGTACCAGATGAGGCATCCCATATTTGATGCTGCCGGGAGATCTCCGGAAGGGACGACTCTTTTAAGAGATGGAACGTGTCCGTCCTTGCCTTGAGGGATTCTTCCTTGGCCCCCCAGAAGGCTCCCCACGCCTGAAATACAAGCCAGGAGCAAAGAATGAGACTTGAAGACAAGGGGAAGAAAGGGCGGTTGTCCTCCATCCCATAAACCCATCTTCCCACATCTGGCAGTGGGGCTAGAAGGAGGCAATGGAGCCCTTTGCCCCCAAAATGACTTCTGCAAGGAGCAACCCAAGAAGGACATAGTCTCTCACCTGGCACCCTTCACGCTCCTTCCGCTCCTTGGCCTGGCTCAGCAGGCAGCCCTCGGCCAGGGCCACGGCCTGCGCGCTGCTCTCCGCGCCGCACTCGCGCACCCAGCGCGCCTCCTCCGCGGGCAGCACGGCCAGCAGCCGCTCCAGCAGCACCAGGTCCAGCATCTGCGCCTTGCTGCGCCGCTCGGGCTGCAGCCAGAGGTGGCACCAGCCATGCAGGCGGCTGCAGAGCTCCCGTGGCCCCGCGGCCTCCTGGTAGCAGAATCCCCTGGCCTGCTGGTGATGGGCGTCCCATGTGAGGGGTTCTTCCTCTAGGATTTTCTGCCCCATAATTTTTCCAAATCCCCTCCTGCGTTCATCCTGGATGGTATGGAGGATTTTTCCTGCTTCCTCATCTACTGGACACGGAGCCGCCATTTTCCTTCACTGCTGAAATGGACCTCCAACAGGTGCAAGGTTTCTGCTAGTTTCAAAACCTGCTTTCGTTCACATGCCACGTTTGCATGAAGAAATCACAGACTTATCACGTGGGTGGTGAACATCCTGAACTGCAGATTCTTAAGAGGGAGTGAAGGGGAGACGCTGTCAGGCTTTCAAGATTTGTTGTAGCCTAGATCAGTGTTTCTCAACGATGGCAACTTTAAGATGGGTGGACTTAACTTCCAGAATTCCCCAGCCAGCCATG